CTATTGCCCTGGGCAGCGTCCACTGTCTGGAAGGCGCAGGGCGGGTGACAGCACTGGCACCAATACACCGTCGGCCCAGTTTAATACCATCAGAGGCTGTTTGCCGGGAACGGGAGCCATGCCGTGCCATCTTAGGCAGGGACTCAGACAACCCTAGAGCAAATTACCCCAAGCCTCACCCGCTCCTCAGCTTTTTCTTTTTTTCATTTTCTTTTTTTTTTTATTTCCCTGTTATTGCCTGTTTCACTCTTCAATAGCCTTACTGTCTGCTGCTGCTCTGACCCATGAATCATATGAGTCATTCTGTTTCTCTCTCTCAGTGATATTGTCTTCCTTTTCATTTACTACTGCTTCATTTTCACAGCATCCTAAAGATTCCTGCATCTTCTTCTGCATCTCCCGTCTTCTACCCTCATCCTTGTCCTTCGCCACGTCCCCACCCTCTCATTTTACTAACCCCATCCCTTTTTTTTACTCTTTCTGCAGCTTCCCCTTCTATCTCCTCTTGTCTCAGTATTAACCCTTAACCAATCTGTTCCCATCAGGGCAGGCAGCAGCCACCCAAACAGACTGACTGAGGTCTGAAAACAGTGACTTGCATTTTGATTCTGCATGCATAAATGTTTAATAGATGCATTTATTTAGCATTTTAATTCAAAGGCTGTGAGCTACAATGCAAAGTTATTGTGATCATTAAGAGCAGTACTTTAAAATAGAATTAAATAACCAATCTTGTCAATGGCGGATGACCAGCCCTGTCTCCTGAGTTATACCAGCTATGTATCTATGCATGCTTGCATCCGCATACCTGTAATAGGCTTTCAATGGACTCGACAGTACACACATATAAAACCTGCATGCCTACACTCTCCTATTGTTATCACTGAAATGCCTGATTTGCATTTGCATTCTCTGCACATGCACCTAAACAGCCACAGACAAACACAAGGACAGAGAGAGACTCCTCGACTGAGGGAGAGGCCTCGCTTGGATTAAAGTCGGAAGTTTGGGGCATCCAGGCATCTGCAGTGTCAAAGCAGCTGCAGCGGCATCATCCACAGCTGACAATGAAACCGTATTTCAGAGGAGTCAAAGCAAACCCCTTCCGTCCTAATGCAAGGCAGACAGATAAGATAACAAGTCTGCCTGTCCAAGCAGAACCGCTGTCTGGTCTCCACTCAGCTGCCAGTAGTTCTGTTGTTGGAGGTTTGTTAACTGACTCTGTGTGTTTTGTGTCAGAGGCATTGATCAGTGTGCTGTGCGGATGATGGATGAGTAGAAGAAGAGGGGGAGAGATGTTGATACAGCACGAACGGCAAATTAATAGTGAGGAGAGGAAGCCATTACTCGACTTCACAGTTTGTATTTCAGATTTCTGAGCTACTTTGTGTTTGTGTATGGGCTTGTGGGTGGAAAAGAACTGATATGACACTAAAAATTACTGTAAGATGATGAATGCATTTACTGGCCCCCTGGACAGTCTTTACATAAACTGCACAAGAGTTCTAGGGTTTGATATTTTGGATTAAAACTTGCTGGCAAGAAGTCCTCGGCCAACACCATTGCACCGATTCCATATAAATGTTTATAACTGTTTTCTGAAAGTAAGGCAGCAATGTATCAGGTTTAAAATGTGACATTTTAGGGGAATATGCTTTTTTTAATCCAAAGTTAAGCTTGAAAGAAAGTGCAGGCAGTGCAGAAGAATATATTTACATGTAAATGGTTGTCTGTTGTGTTTAATCCTCCAAAAGACCGCTCCAATTCAGCTCCAGAGGGGCACCACATGGGGAGACGGCCCATTATACTCCAGTCCATTTTTAGTGGCAGTCCTTGTGTGAAGCCTCTTCAGTAAAAAACTGAATTACAGTTGAGCATAATGAAGCACCTCAGCAAATCCCAGCTGCACTTGAAAATGAAAACGTGAAGATGTTTGTCATCGTGACGTGTTGAGGATTTAGATTTCACACCGTTATTAACAGATAATGGTGGAATGCTCTGACTTTGACTACTGTTTCCAGGGATAGCTTTATTGGATTATGCGAGTAAACATATTGATATGCATCTAATTGTGTTTGGTGGAGCTGTCAGGTTTTATTTTGTGTCGAGCCAGTCTCAGAATACAGGCCGTGGTGGGTTGTGTCGGCTCTGCCAAGCTTCGTCCTGTGTTGATTAATGGCGCCTCACGTGAAATGAAATTAAAACCTCTTTTCTGAGTAACCTGCACTTAAAAATTGTTCATGCAGGACAGGAACACACAGCATAAATGGTATATAGGTAATTTAGTGGCCGATTGAATGCCTGTGCTTTTAAAATATTGCCGTTATGCACGTGTGTCCAGCAGTGATAACAGTCTGACCCACAGCTGTCTGGTCTGGTCGTACACTCGGGCCATTTTTCACCTCCCCATAGTAATAAAAGCAGCAGGCAGCGGTATCCTGCCACGCTGCCAAGGTTAAACGCACAATGGTGTACAAAATCATGTTCTTTCTTTCTATGCCTTTCTTCTCTTATCTCTCCACTGTTATTTCAGATCAAAAATTACTTCTTTGCCAGAACAAAATCCAATTATTGTCAGAGAACAAGAAGATATTATACAACCGATCTGAGAAGAGAAATGTGAACATTTCTCCTGAAAGTAACTGTGACTGAAGAAGGCGGTGCGATCAGTTATTAGTCTGCACTTGTTGACCTTTACAGCTCCTCTTTTATCCCTTCTTAAAGAATTTTTGGGCTGTGGTCTCGCTTTGGGAGTCTTAATGTTTACCAAATTGACTGAACACGGCCGTTTGGGAAACCAGTTGGTGTTTGGATAGGATGGAGATATCTACTGGTATTTTCCTTCTAGGGCCAGATAACCATCACATGCCTTTGTCTTGTGGGTAAATGCTTTTCATTTGATGGTGCAGCCTGTCTCTCTGTTTCTCTCTCTGCCTATCCATTCTTATTTCCCATGTGCATCCTGTTTCATTTATCCTGTCACTCCCTCTCTCAGTCACCGTTCCTCTCTTGTCCATCCTTTAGATATGCTGAATTCCCTCTCCTGCCCTTTTCTTATCTTTCTCCATCACTGCGCCTCTACCATCTCTTCCTCGCTTCTCTTTCCTCACAGATCCACCCTCATCTCTCCTCATCTTCCTATATGACCTCTCTCTTTCTCTCTCTAGTGACTGGCCACATGCTAATGTGTTTGTAGATAGTACACAGTGGCTGAGAGAGGCCATTAGAGAATGCACTGTCTGCCAATGGTGGCATCGCGTGCAGGACATCCAGGACAGTTCATGCGCTGGTGTTAGCATTCGTCAGCAGTGTGTGTGTGTGTGTGTGTGGGTGTGGATATTATGCGTCTGAAACTGTGTGTGTCTATATATATACATTTATATATACTGTATGTATGTGTTCCACTAATTGCTGAGTGTTTGTGTGTTTAAATCCAGCAATGCTCTGCACTCCGTTGCGTACACGTACGTGCGAGATTGCATCTATGTGTGTGCGTCTGTGTGCATGCAAGCGTTAATAATGCAGGGCTGTTGATCACACTGAATGATTGATGGCAGGGAGGTCATAGATAGAGCTCACGCAGGATCACACAGAGGAAAGAATAAAAAAAACAACCCTGGCAACATCACGCTATATCAATGCGCCCAAGCTGTGCGTACAACCAGCACACCGTGTCTTAAACACAATGCCATTTATTATTTACTGTAGTTTGTTGCATCTTTGTTATGTGGTAATCTATCAGTCAAACTGTACCTCTGCATGAAATGTTCTGACCAACTATTTTCATGCATTTTTAAGTTATGAACTTGTTTACCCGAATTATTTTTATCTGTCACAGTTCCAGTGAAACTAAAAGATTGATAACAGAAGCCTGCATTGCTTATTGTGCTAAGATGTTTCCAATTCTGCACACATAAAAGTGCCAACATATACAATATAAGTGACTAACACCAATCTGGCTGTGGGCTTAAATCAGTACAGGTGATATGACGTGACACCTTATTGATCGCCTCTGCGAACATGTGATCACAGATTAGCAGCGTGCAGCGTTGTCAATAACGCCGTTGATTGACGTCATTGGCTAAATGTGTAATACCCTCAAATCTTCGCCTGGAGAACACACTGTGTAGCAAATGTCACTACATTCTCAGGTTTTAATAATAGTAGCTGCACTCAGCGTGGGTGTGCAGGTGTCTCTCTGATGGAGAGATGTATAAACAGCCAGGATGATGCTTTTGCTGTCTTGCAGGCTTCCCTGTGCTCATCCACGCATGCTTATCCATCGGTGTAAAGCCTTTGCATACCCGTGCAACTCTTTCTTCAGTACCAGCAGCCAGTATTCTGCAGAACACCACACTATAGGTGTGTCAAGAGCATACACGCTGGAGTCAGAGTGTGCACAGCTCCCTCCCGTCCTTCCTCGGTGCAGAGAGCAGTGAGGATTGGGATGAGATGTGAAGTGACAGCTGACTCTTGCAGAGAAGGCGAGGTTCCTACGAGGACCACACAGCGTAGCGGAGGAGAGAGGCATCCCTGGCTTCCATCACCACATGACGTTTGTTGTTGGTTAACAGACAGATTTGTGGTTGTAGCTGTGGCTTTGTTGTGAAGGCCTTGTTTACCACAGTGTTGTTGGCTTTGTGTGGTAGATAATACTGCACAGAAGTACTTGGGTACATAAAAGCTCTTACTTATGCCCATTCATAGTCATAAACTTAAGGGAGCAGCGTTAATCCCTTGCCTGCAGAACAACCATTGTTAAATAGCAGTCGCTCGTCATATTTGTATGAACTGTAATTGTTGCCAGGTGCAGATTTGTAACCATTAGTTATGCAAAATCAAAACCCGTTCCTATTTAAGGCAGTTACTACAATATGATAATTTCTTTATGAAGCTCAAAGCTCTTTAATCATAGCCCTCAATCTAATCTGTCTCTGTAATGTGAACTGCTATATTTAATTGCGTGTCTCCACTGCCATTTCCTTGTGCTTTTTTTTCAGGTGTTCAACACCTACTCCAATGAGGACTACGACCGACGTAATGAGGAGGTGGATCCTGTGGCTTCCTCTGCCGAGTATGAGCTGGAGAAGAGGGTGGAGAAACTGGAGCTCTTCCCAGTGGAGCTAGAGAAAGGTGGGGGGAAAAAAAATAAAAAAATCTTAGAACATCTTAATGAGGAGGTGGATCCTGTCACTTAAACACCATACCCAATAGACAGAATCACCCACATATGGGATGTCACTGTTTTTTTTTAGTTATTGAAAAGTGTTTCTGTTATCCTCTTGTTGCCCAGGTTATTTCACCATTTCTTTATTTCAGTATTTTTTAATCCTTTTTTTTTTACCCACATTATAACTTCAACCTACTCCTGTCCCTGTTTGAAAGCAGCAATTCACCACAAATCCCACTAGATTACACTAAAAAGCACAGGAGTGCACAGTTTGTTCTAATTCTCCAGCATGAGCCACAGAGAGGTGATGTTGCATCTTTTCCACTTGTCTTGTCCTGTTTGGATTTTCCTTTGCTGAAATTCACTATTGCCAAGGATCTAAAATAGATTGACTGTACGTTGTAGGATTCCATCATCCACTCTCTGTTATGCAACCCTGACAACTCGTGAATAATTAATGCACAATGGGGATGGATGAAGGGAATTTCCCATCCAGCATATTCCCTTTTTATGTGCAGCCCAGCTCATGTCTTGTAGGTAGATGCCTGTCCCTCCAGTTAATTATTAAATCAGTTGTATTTCTGTTTGAATGTCCATATTATCTGCCATCTCAAACTATACTTACAATGTTGGTTGACTCCATTTTGGGTTTTCTCAGCTCAACGGAAAGTTAGGAAGCGAAAACACAAATATAGACATTTACACTTTAACTATGTATTCTTTATGTTTCCAGATGAAGACGGCCTGGGGATCAGTATCATCGGGATGGGCGTCGGTGCCGACGCAGGCCTTGAGAAACTGGGCATCTTTGTCAAAACTGTCATCGAGGGTGGAGCTGCTGAGAGAGACAGCAGGTGAGAGCTGCTTCTCCTATAGTGCACATCGCACATTTTTCCAACCAAAAAGTGGGTGTGGAGACAACAAACGGCATGAAAGATCAGTGTGTGCGAGACGAAAGACGCACTCATTGTAGAAAAATGCACACAAGAGTTAATCAGCTATTTAGTTCCTGCCACCCCTCCACCAGCACCACTCTGTCTCGCTCTCTCACACAGTCACACTCTGTCCCTGTCAGATTTAGCAGCAGGGGTTCGGATTAAATCCAGTGGGAGAGGCACAGTATGGGACGTGAAGTCTTATACACGGCTGTACGTGGTGCGGGATATGGAATGTGGATTAAGTGACAGAGACAGTTCACTATTTTATATGTGCTATACAGTATTATTGTATTATGCTGTATATTATTACTTCTCAGTTTGTCAGGTTTTCTGCACAACGCAACTGTTTCCCATATTCACAGTGTGTTTCTATCTCTGTCCCCGGATGATGCATGTGTGTGTTTGTGCATTATAAAGCGTGAACAGTGCAGAGTAAGCACTCAGCTAGGGGTAGAGGAGATGACAGCTTCTCAGCAGGCGAGCTGTGATTTTCTGCCTCTCAACCACAAGCTTCTACCTATTAGTGCGTCTGTGTGGTTCAGGTTCCCCATAAACAGATTAAAAAACAGATAGGCAGCTCCAATCAATGCAGTATGAGAGCAGTGAGCACGGTAAGCACTCCTCGCAGATTGGGAACCCTAATGCACCGGGGTTGTTTGCAGTAGGTGTGTTTTCTTTGGGGATTAGTTTTTCTTTTATGTCGCAGCCACGGTTGCCTTTTTCAGGAACACGACAGTGAGATTAGTTAAAATGTAGCGAGAAGGGAGAGACGGGGGGAGAGAGCAGCGGCAGAGAAGAAGCAGCTTGTTCAAAAGTGCGAAAAGTTGATCTGTTCTAAGATGACAGTCTCACTGACTCCAAAAAGTCTCATTTCACTCGGTGAGTGGAAGAAATAAGTATGGAGAGATCAGAGGAAGCTTGTGCAGGAGCTCAAGTTCAATACATTTATACGCCTGTAGATCTGAGCCTTTTCCTCGTTCATTTAAACTGAAAAAGTTCACTGGTTCTCAGTTCTTCCCTGTCTGTCCAATGTAGATCCTGCTGCGTTAATAATTAATGTGTAACTGAAAAGACAGGACCTGTGCTCTCCTTGATAAACTGTGCTTGCTTACGTTTTTAGCCATGCTAGAGGCATCGCTCTAAGGATGGCAGCCCCTTTGATTCAAAGGGAAACATCTCACTGTCGGCTGCCCTGTGGTGCTGCACGCTCATAATGATATTCATGGTCAGCGGTTGATGTAGTGTTTGGTGCTTTTTAGCAGGGCTATAGTGTCCTACCACACTAAACTAACATGGTGGCCATTATCAGTTCTAATTGCTTAAAATCTGAATGTTATTTTTGACTGATGTTACCATTTAGAACATTTTTAGGCTTTTTGGTTGGTAATGATGCATTTTTAAAAATTCTGTATCCGTGCTTAATATGAAACTGAGTATGCTAAGTACCTCCGTAGTCAGACTCCACTGAGTAGCAGAGTCCCAGATGAAGGCAGGAGCTAACAACAGGATATTCAAAGCTTGAATGCTGCTGGTGGTGGAGCAACAGTAGTAGATGTCTGATGGAGATGCCCTACACAAACTGGATGTTGTGTAGATGGGGAGGAGGAGGATTAACCGTCAAAAAATGACAGAATTACAAAGAGACAGGGTCTTGGGGGCTTATAGGACCAAAGAACATGGGCAGATGGATCATCGGACAAGTGTTATGACGTTAAAATTGAGTATGAAGTGATTTTGACAGCGTGGGAAAACTGAAGTCACAAAGAGAATAGAGCAGCAGGAACAGCCCATATTCACCAAAAGGAACAGAGAGAACACAGAGTTATTTTCATCACTGAGCTTCTGCATAAGCGTCTTATAATAAACATTCACAATTAGGTTATGCTTTTTAAAAAATATATAGTTTCACTGTTAGTTGAATAATATATGGAAAGCTTTATTTCATTCAGTTCAGTTAGTTTTCTTTCATTGTTTATCTTTGTGTATCTAGGATAAGATAAACTTTATTGATCCATTACCAGAGAAATTCACAGTGAAATTCAGAAAATCAGTTTTTTTGTTCCCCCGCCCCCCCCCAAAAAACTACAGATTTCTTTTCATGGTGTCATTGTGGCATAAGAGTTAAGACAACGCTATATATGTAGCTGCAAAGTTGCTTGTTTGATTATGGCTCTACCAACGAATCTTGTCTATATCTATCCTGTCAACAAAAGCAAACATGAAAATTTAGGGTTTTTTTTTAAAGGTTTAAAAAAATGTACTGAGAACCTAAACTATGAAAACAGATGGTTGAAGTGTATGTGATGGAACAAATACATTAAGGCTGACTTTATAATGATGTGTTCTATTTTATGCTTTTTCACACTATTCACATTCCTGTTCTTCTCACTCATCTAGCACGCCCTTCCTCTTTTAAACTTTGATTTATCTATTTGTCATTTATTTATTTATTTATTTATTTCCTATCTTAGTTTTTCAGGTTTTCGTGTTACTTGTTATATTTAGCTTTTATATTTGTAGTGTACATTTTTAGATGTCAAACCTGGTTAAAGAAAATTTAACATATTCCGTAAAAATTTATCTTTATTTTATAGGATGCGGCAATAAACAATTAAATATAGGTTGAAAAAAATAGGTGGACCAATATTGGATATCGAGTATTTTGTTGGACAGTTGGACTTTGCTTAGGATCACATTGATTTTCTTCAACTTACTCACTTGCTGGTATTACCAGTTTATAAAAACATGTCGGATGAAACAGTCACGGATTACAGTGTATACGTGACATTAATAACTTTCCAAAGTATGTGATAATTCTACCGGCGGTGTGGGCTGATCAAACAGAAACATCACACACTGTCAGATCTTTCCAGTGGTGTTTTGCTCTGAGTGACTATTCAGACTTCCCTGTTTTGCTGCAGGTCTTTCCGTAAACCGAGCCTTTTGTTTGTTTAGTTTGGCTAATGTGTTCCAACATTATATTGCATCATTTGTGCCTCTATTAGATACAGAAACAGAATTGCAAATCTGCAGTTCTGCCAGTGTCCTCATGATGGATTTCCTAATAAACCCTGATCACGTTATGAGCGAAATAAACCCAAGACTCGAGATATTAGCGCCCTGATGGCAATAAATACTTGATAACTTTTGCACATTCATTCACCCTGTAAGTGCTCACACTCTGACTCACACGCGGGTGAGGAGTCGCTATCCAGAGTGCGATTTCCTTCTGTCATTACCTCTCCTGCTATAGGGCTCTCCGTCTCTTGCTGAGTCGGACTTAATGGTCTGATGCGCACTCACGGGCAGACAGATAGATGGACTCGACTCACTGTTTCGTCTGTGAGCGCGCCGGGGTCAGATGAGGGCTGTAAGACGAAAGGTGTGTGGGTATTTTGGTTTATTTGCATTAACCGATATCCTCCTTTGTTGTCACTCGGTGTATTTTTTTTCCCTCGCTGACTCCGCTTGACAGTCGTATACCATCCAGCCTCGGCCACACAAAGCCACGTTATGATATTAGAAGCTGTGAAGGTCAGACGAGCGTCTGAGCCGCCGACAGACAACCAGCTCCGCTCTCTGTCTACCTGTCAGGCCGATGCGTCTCTATACATCCACATGACAGCTCTGGTTGATGTGTTGGGTGTCACGGTCGTATTAAATCCAGCTCGACAGCTGGCGTATGTTGTGACAGACTGAGAAAGGAGCTGAGAGGACACTGGTGAGAAAACATTCCTGAGTTTGGATCCGGTTCTTGCAGGAAATTAACAGCAAACACGTTGAGTTGGAAATTATATATTTAAGCTTGTAAGTCAATTAATTTTTACCAAGTGTTACAGTCGTATTTATTTTTATTTTATTTTATTTTATTTATTTTTTTTACTATATAGATGTGTG